CCCCGACCGCTATCGGCCTCGTTGCTGATGGCGACCTTAGCCCGGATTTCCAGCAGCCCGAAACGATCATTGAGGAGCAACATCACAACCACTCGCAGCCAATTGCCGCACCCATGGAAGATGTTCCACCGAAAAGCCGGAATCGCCGGCGGCTGTTCCGTGGGCTCTCTCGCATGTCATCGTCTTCCAGCCTCGCACAGACTGGCCGCGCTCGCTCAGCCAGTGCACCATACGCATCTACCGGTGCCAGCCTTTCTTGCATCGCTCTGTCGTCCACATCGTCTCCGTTTGCGCCGTCATCCAGTGTGAACAACTCTACTCTCGCCTTCCCTCCGCTTTCCTCAACTACTACGATCGGCTCTAATAATGGCGCTGTTTCGTCAACGCCCTCGCCTCCCTCTACAGCGACATTGCCCTTCCCTCCGTTTCCACATGCACAGAGCAGCAGTGCTGTTCGCAAGGTGGATCTCAGTCTCGGGAGCACCTATGGAACCCCTGGCACGGTTCCTATGCCCCACGACATGGTCAGGGCCGCATCGTTGCCCTTGTTTTCCCCTCGGCCTAAGAAAACTCTCTATCAGCTGTGGAACAACCTACCGCGCGAAATCAAGTTGCACATTCTCCAACTTTTGCGGCCAAAGGAGATCATCCGTGTTTCTCGAGTGAACAAACAGTTCAACAAACTCTGCTATGACGGACAGCTGTGGACCACCTTCGACGCCTCCGAATTCTACCAGGACATTCCGGTGGAGTGTCTTTCCAAGATCATCACGGCGGCTGGGCCATTTGTGAAAGACCTGAACCTGCGCGGTTGCGTCCAGATCGACAAGTTCCAGGATGCCCTTCTCATGGCCAGCGCGTGCGCCAATCTTGTTAATGCCACCCTCGAAGGCTGTCTCATCGACTTTAAGAACCTGAACAACCTCTTGAAGAGGAACGACCGACTGGCCCATATCAATCTCGCTGGCCTATCGAGCGTCAGAAACGACACCTGCACGACTCTCGCCCAATACTGCAACCAGATCGAGGTGCTCAACTTGTCGTGGTGCAAGCACCTTCGGGCCCCTGGAATCCAGACCGTCCTCAAAGGCTGCCCAAAACTACGGGACCTTCGCGTTGGCGAGATCCTTGGATTTGACCAGATCAGCGTTGCCAAGACCTTTTTCGAGACCAACCGGCTTGAGCGACTGGTCATGAGCGGATGCACGGATCTCACGGACGAGGCACTGGGTGTCATGGTGCATGGCGTCGACCCCGAGATCGACCTGCTGACCGACCGCCCCATTGTGCCCCCGCGCCGCCTGCGCCATCTCGACCTCAGCCGTTGCCAGAGACTGACAGACCGTGGCGTTGCTGCTCTGGGCCATTGCGTTCCGGATCTGGAAGGCCTTTCGCTCGGCGCCTGCAGTGCGCTAACCGATGCGGCGCTGCAGCCGATATTCGAATCAACGACCAAGCTGGCCTACCTCGACCTTGAGGATCTCGTCGAGCTGACCAACTCTCTCTTTTCCACGTATCTTGCCAAGTCCAAGTGCGTCGACACTTTGACGCACATGTCCATTAGCTACTGCGAAGACATTGGCGATGCGGGCATGATCCCCGTTCTCCGCGCCTGCACAAAGCTCCGCAGCGTCGAGATGGACAACACGCGCATCTCGGACTTGACGCTAGCTGAGGCGGCGGGCATGGTGCGCACCCGTGCCGTCCGCACTCGTGTCAAAAAGCACCGTCCCAGCATTGGACTTAGCCTGACAGTATACGACTGCCCCAACGTCACCCGCACAGGTGTACGGGAGATTTTGTCGCGCAACGCCGAAGTTCTCTCGCCGCACAAGGCAGCGCAGAACGGCGTCACCATCACCACCAGCACGCCATCAGAAACGGTCGGCGTACCCGTGTACACCTTCCCCACCGAGATCATTGCCCTCAAGTGCTTCTATGGCTGGCAGATGACGGTCGACGAGCACAACAAGCGCGTCCTCAAGGGCGACTTTGCCGCGGCCCACCGCTTGGAGCGCAAGTGGTCTGACTTCATTCAGGCCAACGAAGAGGCCGGCGTCGGCGGACGCGGCAGTCGTCGCCGCCGCCGTCGCGCTCGTGAGGCACAGCAGGCACACGTCGACGAAGAAACTGCTGGCGGCGGCGACGTTGAGGCCGGCACAGGGGCAGCGGGAATGGGCATCGGGCGCCGCCGCGCTCGGACGACTGCATGCGCCATCATGTAAAGCCGTCGCTTATTGACAGCCTCGGCGATGTTCTATTATATTGACTGACCATCTCCATGGTTGCAATTTTGTTCGCATTCGTACATTACATAGTTATGGGGTTCTACAATTATGGGAATCATAGACAGGGATGGTCTTGGCGTCTTCTTGTTTCATTTACTGTGATTAAGGGATCATGGTATAGGAGCAACGGGGTTTGGGTTTGCATTTACTTTGGATCTACGTGCCTACATCATTCGCTGGTAGCTGGTAGCTTCTTGATACGCGAATTGATGCTGCTTTTGTCAATGTTTTTTCGGTAGTCTTTTGGGTATTAACTATGCCATTCATAGTAGGACATTTATAGTATCGGGATTTCTTGGTTCTATGGTCTATGACTTGCCGACATGATATACGAAATATGGTCTGACGTTGAGGGGAATATATGGATGCCCCCCCAAAAAATCGCGTCAGATATGCGTCTCACAGGTCTCCCGGCTTCGACAACTTGACATTGCCGGGAAACCCAATAACCTCTCCAGACCCTGCACCACTGACCCCAGCATCACCGCCACCCTCGACGTCACTGTCCTCAAACTCTTCTAGGTCCGACGCGTTGCCCGTCCGGTAGTGGTACGCGTCTCGGCCGTACTCGTCGTCGGACGACACCTCGTCTTCCGGGTAGTCATGCGTATAGTAGTTCTCGGCGTTCTCGTCCTCGTCGTCTTCGCCGTCCTCGTCGCTGTCCTCCTCGACGCCGTAAAAGAACTCGAGGTCCGGCTCGTTGTCGAACACGAGCAGGCCCACTGTACCGGGGACGGCCGCCCCATTGGCGACAGCCTGCCGGGTGGCTTCGTGGCCGGGGACGCGCACGTACGTTTCCGTGACGTAGTCCTCCTCGTCTGTCTCGCTGGCGTCATTGTCGTCGTTGTCGTCGTTGTCGTCGTTGTCGTCGTTGTCACCGTCGCCCGAGTCCTCGACATCAAGAGTATCGTCGCTCATGTCGTCTGGGCCGCCGGCGGCGCCCGCACCCTCCCGCTCGGCGAGCCGCTGTCCTGGTGGTTTGGGCTTGTACTTGGCATAGGCCGCCCGCCGGCGCTCGTTGGCCAGCCGGGACATGTCCAAGTCGCCCGCTCTGCGCTCGGCCTCGCGCTGCTCCCTGGCCAGGGCGGCCGCGCGCTGGCTCTGCTGGGCGGCCAGATTGCGGCCGATGATCTCGAGCGTATAGTCGTTCATTTCGCGCGTGAGCTGGTCCATGTCGGTGTCCCACTGGCGGTTGCGCAGCGAAGGTGGGAGCGCGGGCGTGCCCGATGCACTCGACGTCGCCGTGGGCGTGAGCGTGTCGCCCGTCTCTGCCAGATTCCCCCCCGATGCCGGTGTCGCTGCGCCACTCGTGGATGCGCCACTGCCGCCCGCCACCCGCCGACCTGGTCGTTTCGGCAGGGGCGCCATGGGCACCGCGGGCTTGGGCTCGTCGACAGACGGAAGAGCGGCACGGCCACCACCACCACCGCCACCGCGCCCACTCGCGCCAGCTTTCCTCTCTTGACCCCGTCGCAGCTGCTGCCTCCGCTGCCGCCTGCTTCGCTCGACAAAGACTGCCGCCGGGCCCGCATCGCCACCACCGGCACTGCTGTACCGCGACCGCTTGCGCACACCGGCCAAAGCAGACACGCCGAGCACCGCAGCGGCATTCGAGTGAGCAGCGAGTAGAGAGTCTCGCGACAGGTGGAAGCGACGCGGCTCGACGGCGCCTGCCAAGCTGGTGGCAGCCGGGGATGTCGTTGTCGCTGGTGCCGTGGCGTCTGCCGCCTCCTTCTTGTCCACTTTGCCTGCGGCTCGTGTCTTCTTCTTTTCATCGCCTTTCTTGGAAGACTGGATTGTCGGGGGCCGTATGGGCGAGCGGCCAGACGCTTCGGCCTCGAGTTCTGTGGCGCGCTTCGCAGCCTGGGCGGCGGCGACGGCTTGGGGGTCGTGCCGGCGGTAGAAGAAGGCATCGCTGCGGTGGCGCTTGTTGGTCGCGTGTTCGATGCCTGCTAGCTGTTAGGTGCTGTGCGGGACAAACGGAGCCGTAAATCAAAGGACCTACGCAAAAACGACGGCACGGGGCCTTCTTCGGTGCGCTTCCGCTTGACCTGGATGACTTGCGGCGGAAGAGACATGGTGCCGATGTGAAGCGGTTGTTGTATGTGGAGGAGACGAAGATGCGAACGCTGCAGTGTAACTGCTGTGAGCGATGGCCGGGGATTCGAGATGTCAAACGAATGACGCAGCCTCTTACAACTCCTCGTGAGAATGGTCGAGGTAAAAGGTCTTGAGCAGACGAAGCGTTGGCGCAAAAGGCGCAAAAGTGGACTTTGATAGTGCGCTGGTTGGTGACGGCAAGCTAACAGCTCAGCACTTCTCTTCAAATTTTGCCATGGCGACCAGCAACACAAAGCAGACCCACATTACTGCATAATGACATAGCTGGTAAGGGCCAACTTGACATCCTTAAGACGACTCAATTACGACTTTGCTATTTTACCGTCAGTTTTTTTTTCTTTTTCTTTCCTTTCTATCCCGTTCACTTCCAAAGCTCGGCAATTGTATTACCTATTTCATTAAAGTTTGCTAAGACGCAAAGAGTCCTTGTTTACATAGCAATGTTTCTGTAGAAATGCTATTACGAAAAGCCCTGTCATTAAGTACACGACCGTGTTCGTCCGGCCTTCAACATTTGACGTCCGACCCATGCAATGGAACAAACATACTAATAAAAGACGCAGCTCGTCGCATGTTCCAGTGCCCGCCCGCTCATTCCGCTCGCCGTGACCGGAAGATGCTCGCGAGAAACCCGCCAAGCCAGTCGACAAAGACCAGCTTAATGAATGAGGCGAACCAGTTGGAGTTGCCCTTGACTTCGACGCCTTTCGGGTGATGCGATACCGGTGTGCCACTCTGCGCCTCATTAGTGGCAGCAACGTCTCGGGTGCTGCTTTGAGCCCCTGCCGCCGGCGACGACGGCCCTTCACTTTCATCGATGTCAGGGAAGTCGCCAGGACAATTGTCTGTGCTAATGGGTGCACCTCTCACATTCATGGGACTGCCCACGTCGCTTTCCTGTGCTTTGTGGACGACAATTGCCGGATTTGCAAGCCGAGCAACCTTGGTTTTGGGTGAGATGGCTTCCGAGGTGAGCAAGACGGCCTCGGGATTTGGCACATCAGATTTTGCCGCTGCCGTGGGTGACAGTAGGTCCGACTGGACCGGATCCGGGAGAAGGCTATGCTCTTGATCATCGGTGCCCGTCTCCTCCACAATGCACTGCAGCGAAGGTGAAGCCGCCGGAGACGGGTCTAAAACGAGGCTATCCCGACTCGAGTTGCGCTTGTGAGACTCCGGGCGCCGGTTGCCCACCGGACGATTTGGATTCGTTGTCGGCGAGATCGAGAAGCTATCACCAGCCATATCGATCGATCCCACCGAGGTCTTTCTTCCTGGCGTCACGACAGGCGAGGCAGGATACCCCTCGAACATAGTCGGGTCCTCGTCCAAGCCGGTTTCGAGGGTTCGAACACGGCTGAGAATGTCTTCGCGGTTCGAAGGGAACCTTTCGAGCGTTGGGTCCTCTGGGTCAAAGTTCTTGTCGTGGGCCGAGAAAGCGGGCGACGTGGGACTGTACTCGCTCTCCGCCGCCACGGCCGCAGGCAACTCGTAGCTGCCAGCGTACTCGTATGCAAACACTGGCGCGGCATCGAGGCCATCATCTTCTTCGCCCGGCCGCTCGTGCGGGAACTCGGGGCCGATATCCACGTCGAGGTACTGTTTGTGGTGGGTGGTCAGCAACTGTTCAGGTCTTGTGACCATTTATGCCTAGTGTTCTCCTACATCGACAGATGAGTCGGGCACCTCATGTTCGGCGGCCTCTGACTCGGGTGTCCGCGCATCAATCTGCGCCGCTGTATCCGCGACCTCCATGGTCGTCTTCACAAAACTCGGTGTGCTGGCATCGGAGCGAGAAATGCCACCGGGCACCGGTATATGTAGATTGGACAGGCCAGCAGCGGCCGTTGGAAGAATGGGCGAGTCGGGAGGAGGGGTCGGTGGCTTCTGCACACTGGGATTGGACTTGGCGCTGAACGGGGCAAAGTGCAATTGTTAGCAAATTGTGCAAAACCGACTGTCAGCCAGCATGAATTCCGCTCCTACTTTTCACGCGTAAGTGGACACGTACCTCTCGTGGGCTTTCACCTTTAGCACGTTGTTGCGGTTGCCCATATCGTCGGTGACGGTGGGAATGCTCTCGTCGAGCACCCACCAGTCGCCCTCGCCGACGCGAAACTTGTACTGCACCTCTGTGCCTGGCTTTGCACGGATGGACTTTGTAAAGATGTGCTCGCCGTCCGCTGCCGTCTTGTGCTCCATCTCCACGGGTGTCCATGGCGGCTTCGAAAAGGATCCGGCCAGCCACAGCGGGGGTTGAATGTCTTTCGACCTGTAGGTGATCTCAACTACTACACCGTCTTTGACCATGGTGAATACCTGTGCCCGAGAAACGCTCGCACCTCGTCGAGTTGATGTGACGTGCAGATCGATGCAAAGCGGCGATGAATGCTGAGATGTCGGGAAGCAAGGGATAAGCTGAGGCGGTTGGGCGCACTGCGGAGAAGGTAGTAAAGAATAAAGTAAGGCGACAGGAGAGACTGGAGGAAGCCGGACCGTTGGGCTGAGACAAAAAGTAGGGGGATAGAAAATGCCAACCGTCGAAGCTGAGTGCAACAAGGTGAAGAATAATAAAAGAGAAGCGAAGATATGTCGGAATAAATCAGAGGAGAATCGTTCTATAGGGAGCCGCGATGGAAAGAGGCAAGTGCAAGTAAGGGCAAGAACAATGAGCACCTTTCTACGTCTTCGCTGTTAGCTGGTGGTGTGAGGCCGTCTTGGCTCACTGGACGGCGCCTTCCACAAATGGGCCGTAGCCCTGTATCTCCTCTACATTCGCATTGCTTCGGCCGCAGTTTCCTTTTGTGTTCACATTGTATGCCAGGGTTGATGGCCCTTTTTCTTTGGCTATTTCCCTTTGATGATAATTGCCCTCGCGCGGAGCAAGAGCTACGAAAAAGCGGGCTGCACCTTCCCCAGGGATGTGTACACGGCATTAAACCCGTAAGCTGCAGGTGACGGACGTTGCGTTCAGCGTGGCAGGCCTGTTGTCAACGTCGGGCAAGGGTTTTCAAAGGGACTCGTTCCCTGAATCGTCAGGATAGTACGAGGGCATGCTAGAATGACAAGAGACAGAAAGAGATCAAAGTTGAGACCCATGCTGGTCTTTTGTTCGCTCTTTGATCTTTGATGTTGTCGGTGGCTCCCTCGCTCTTTCCCCGCTTTGGTTCTGGGCTTTCATCTAACACGCAGTTTCGTACCCCAACGCACCTGCCGCGAGCAGCTGCTGCTACGTCACTGACTTTTTATCGCAGAACTCAGGCTCCACCATGCACTATCGCCTTATCGACTGGCACTAAGCTCAGTGGCCCTTGCGTCTCCACATCGATTGTGAAGACGAGTCACGTGTGCAGGCGTCAAGTGGCTGCCATGTGCGTGTTTGGACGCGGCGCCACTTTAAAAACTTCAAAATCGATTTTTAGGGGACAAAACCCAGGCAGAGCAGGCAAAACAGGCACAACGGGCACAACAGGCAAGAAAATCTGCCATTGCCTGCCCACGACACACACACAACGGCCCATACAATGTTACGAGCCGCCCTGCGACGGATATGCCCCGTCTGCTGGACGGCGGGTGGTCCATCAAACCAATTGCGACTCTCACCAGTCCGGCCATGGCAAACACAGCCGGTTCAGTTGCCGCAGATGCAGCTGCAGAGACGGGGCTTGGCTGCCCAACGGCGGAAAACACCGTCACGTATGGTCCTATCCGATAGAGTTGCGCGGCCGCCCCCGACGCGGCAAGCGCGGCGGAGAGAAGCTGGGCCGTTTACGGGCATGAACCGCACTGTGGCCAACATCCGCGAACGACCGGCGCAAGCCGCAACGACAACGACAACATCGTCTTCTACGCCGACAATATCACGGCACGCATCCCGGCGGCTGAAAGATGACAGGGATGGCGGACGGGGCGGTGGCAGCAGCAACAGCAGCAGCAGAAGAAGCAGAGACGGTAGCAAGAAACCCTTCAAGGCGCTCCGCATGCAACAGTCCCTGGCGACGATCGGCTACGGCCAGCGGACGCAGATCAGGTCGCGCATGGCGGAGCTGGACCAGTTCGACCAGTTCAAGCTGCTGCCATCGCTGCAGACGGCGGTCCAGTCGGACGCACTCCGGGGCATGGTGGATGTGAAGCCGACGCCCATCCAGCGGCTCGCGATCCCGATGCTGCTGGGCCAGGTGGTGGACCGCCGGCAATCGCGGCAAGTGGCACCGGGCGGCGTCCGTGAGTTTTTGCTGGCTGCAGAGACGGGGTCCGGCAAGACACTGGCGTACCTGCTGCCGGCCGTGGACGCGCTGAAGCGTGCAGAGGCAGAGGACGAGGAGATCATAGCGTACAAGAAGCGGCTGGCGGACGAGAAGGAGCGGCGCGCGGCGGCAAACTACCGCGGCTCGACGGTCTTTGAGCCGCACCCGACGACGGCGCGGCCGCGCGTGGTTGTGCTCGTGCCGTCGGCCGAGCTTGTCGGGCAGGTGGGCGGCGTGGCCAAGGCGCTGTCGCACGAAGTCAAGTTCCGCACGGAGCTGCTGTCGGCCAACGTGTCGCCCAAGGCCATGGAGCGCAACCTGCACTCGCCGTCGGGCATTGACGTGGTGGTGGCGACGCCGCACCTGCTGGCATCGATTGCCGAGGCCGAGCCCAACGTGCTGTCGCGCGTGACCCATTTGATCATTGACGAGGCGGACTCGCTGCTCGACCGCAGCTTCTCGCCGGCGACGACGGCCATCCTGGAGCGGGCGCGCCCGTCGCTCCAGCAGCTCATCTTGTGCTCGGCCACGATCCCACGGCGACTCGACACGTATCTGGCCAACCACTTCCCCAACATGCAGCGGATCACGACGCCCAACCTGCACGCGATCCCGCGGCGTGTCCAGCTGGGTGTCATTGACGTGACCAAAGAGCCGTACCGCAACAACAAGGACCTCGCGTGCGCGGACGCCATCTGGTCGATTGGCAAGGATGTGTCGGCGTCCTCCTCGGCCAACGACGACCGGCCAGATGGCGCCCGCGGCGACGGCGAGTCGGACGTCAAGCGGATCATGGTGTTTGTCAATGAGCGCGAGAAGACGCAAGACGTGGCCGAGTTTCTGCGCGGCAAGGGCATCGACGCCGTGGCGCTGCACCGCGACGCGTCCGAGTCGCGGCACACGGACATGCTGGCGCTGTTCACGGCGGCGGGGCCACTCAAGGCGGCCGCCCTGCATGCGGCACAGGCACCAGTCCCGTCCCCGGCGATGGGCGGCCGCTCGCTGGCCAACACCAAGGTGATTGTGGCGACGGACTTGGCCTCGCGCGGCATCGACACCTTGGGCGTGCGGCATGTGGTGCTCTACGACGTGCCGCACACGACGATTGACTTTATCCACCGCCTGGGCCGTGCCGGCCGCATGGGTCGGCGTGGTCGGGGCATTGTGCTGGTGGGCAAGGACGACCGGCGGGACATTGTGGCCGAGGTGCGCGAGAGCATGTACATGGGCCAAGCGCTTGTGTGAGAGAGATGTCTTTCGCGTCTCTTTTGCTTTTGTGCATCTCACTATGGGTGAATGGCCATGCACATTGCATCATATTTGCAGCATCCTGGGTATAGACACAGTGGGACGAAGCGGGCATTTGTGCTTTTGTACATTCGTATTTTGTACTATAATGTGTGTTCAGACATAGCTTGCATTGGCGAGTCTTACAACCTTTGAAATGGTAGACTCGAATCTGCAAATAATACCCTTCCACTCGTCTCAACCATCGCGGCGTTGTTCTTTGTTTCCATGCCAATTTCCGCAGCCCACGCTCCGGGTCGGGTTTTGGCCTGGCTCACTTGCACTACGTTTTTGTCACACTCGGGGTCCACCGCTTCGGTGCCGATGCGCAAATAGTTTTGTGTGTAAGCCGACCAACAAAACGTCAAAACCCGGACTTATCCTTCTGTGAAGGCTCTAATCCCGTGGCGATCTCCACCTCCATTGCGCAACAAGAGCACGCGAAGAGGGGCTAAAGCTCATTTTTCACTTTGCTCGCCTGGCCGGACTGCGACGCTGTGGTGTAGCCGTGACATGACCATCGGCGCATCGAGCGGCCAGTTTTGCGCGGTCCGTTTTGTTTGCGGACGCCCTGGCCGCTCCCCTGTCTTGCTGTATTTGCCGGCGATACACAGGCGGTATGTATTTGAGCCCCTGTTTTTTGTAGACGCGCAAAATCAATTGCGAAATAAAATCGACATGTTCGATGGCCCTTAAATACAGGCGCCTCGTCCCGCTGTCGATTCACCACATCTCGTTCTTTGCCCATTGCACCATTGACCACCTCGCTCGTCCGTTCTCGGCATACACATCCAGTCAAGCCCTCTCCAGAGTCTGCCCATCTCGTCCACCACTGTTTGCCTCTTCCGCCAAACCCCCATCCTTCGAAATGGCCAGCCACGCTTGCGCTCAGCGTCCCCCTATCACCGTCGACTACACCCCCCAGGGCCGCCATGAGACCCTCGGCGGTCTGAAGACGTGTACGTATCGCTCGTCGGCAAGAATGATTGTTCTTGTTCCGTACAGCTTGTTGTAGGATCCAGCTAATCGCATCTCGCCTCAATTTGTAGACATTGTCGGCCCCGACGACGCAACAAAGGCCATCGTCGTCGTCTACGACATCTTTGGCGTCTGGCCGCAGACGGTCCAGGGCGTCGACCTCCTGTCGTCCATCACCGGCGCCCTGGTCCTCCTCCCCGACTTCTTCGAGGGGGACGGCGCCAAGCCCGAGTGGCTGCCCGCCAACACCCCCGAAAAGCAAAAGGCGCTCGGTGACTTCTTTGCCAACAAGGCCGACTTCGGCAACGCCGTCAAGGCCGTCCTCAACGTGCGCAAGGATCTCGCCACCCGCTACCCGGCCGTCGACGACCATGTCGGCATTTTCGGTCTCTGCTGGGGCGGCAAGGTTGGTGTGTTGGCCACGGGCGCCGACAATACGGGCGCCGGCCGGCGCTTCACCGTCAGCGGCACGGCTCACCCTGGGTACGTTACTGTCCTCCTGCTGCACTCGCTTTCTTTTGATGCCCTCTCGCTGCGCTCGCTTTCTTTTGTGGTCCTCTCGCTGCGCTCGCTCTTGTGTCCTCACTCGCGTCGCTCGTTCGCTGTGGGCCGTTCTTCTCCTGCTGACTGCTTGACAGCCGCCTCGACGCCAAAGACGCCGAGCCCCTTACCGCTCCTCACATCCTCCTCGCCTCCAAAGACGAAGACGCAGCTGTCGTCGCCGAGTACGAGAAGATCCTCGCCCAGCCCGGCAAGGTGGGCGAAGTCGACACCTACCCCAACATGTTTCACGGCTGGATGGGCGCCCGCGCCAAGCTCGACGACGCCGAGAACGCCAAGGAGTATGTCCGCGGCTACGAGCAGACCGCCGCTTTTTTCAACGCGCACCTGTAAGCCAGTGCGTGTATCGTTTAGTCTGTCGTTGCTTGTTCTGTTATCCACAGAAGGTTGTACGACGTAGTTGGTGACAGTAGAATGCGTTGAACAAAAGAAATGAACAGCGGAAAATCCGAATGACAATAAATATGAATTGGTCAGTAAAATACGAGTGATGTCCTTTGCAATGGAAAAGTACCGCCCTGTATGTTGCAACCCCAAAATCCTACGAAAAAGAGCTCTTATCGATAAGCCGCCAGGCACGTAGTCAAGTCAGCGCCAAAAGCTGCTTTTGTTCCGTACTCAGATCTAGACCACCACTACGACGACCATAACGCATAACGCTGTCGCCGCCTCGTACCCAACCGTTTCCACGACATCCCTTTCCTTTCCCTCGCGTCCTTTTCTTCCCGTCTCGCCCATCATGAGCCAGCCGATGAAGATCGGCCTCAACCTGTCCAAGAAACCTGGAGCAGCAAAACCGGGCGCAACAGCAAAACGACCCGCAATCTTTGGTGGCGGCGACGATGACGGCGATTCCGACGACGGCGATGGCGGCGGCGTGTTTGGGCGCAAGAAGACCGGCAGCAACAAAAGCAACACAAAACCGGATGACGGACCTGTTGCTGTAGCGATCACCGAGCTGGGCGACGACTTTCTATCCGGCACGGCGCCACAAGACACAGACGATGGCGACGATGCGAAAAAGAAACTGGCACACCGAAAAGGCCAGCCGCCACCGAGCAAGTACAAAAAGGCCGCCGTCGACGGTGACGGCGACACGACAAGCTCCCCCTTTGGCAGCGACCTGGCGAGCGCGCTGACCGCGCGAAAACACCGCGAAGCCGCCGAGGCGCTCGACCCGTCCATATACGATTACTATGCGACGTACGATGCATTCAAGGCGGGCACAAGCAAGAACAAGGCAGGGGGACATGCGGACGATGGCGAGACGCCGCGCAAATCGCAGTACATGAGCAACATTCGCAAAATGGCCGAGGTCCGCGAGCGCGACCGCCGCGTCGCCGAGGACAAGAAGATGCAGCGCGAGCGGGCGGCCGAGGGCGACGCCTTTGACGACAAGGAGACGTTTGTTACGGAGGCATACAAGCAGCAGCAGGAGGAGAACAAGCGACTCGAAGAGGCGGAACGGAAACGCGAAGAGGCCGAGGCGGCCAAGGCGGCGGAGACGGGCGGCATGACGGGGTTCTACAAAACGCTCCTACAACGGGACGAGGAGCGACAGGCGGCCATCCAAGAGTCCCTGCGCGCTGCGACAGCAGCACGGAAGAGCGGGGACAGCGGTGGTGCAAGCGAGGGCGGGGATGAGGCCGAGGAGGACGACTCGTCGACCGCACGCGCGCGCGCAATCAATGCGCATGGCGGGCATGTTGCCGTCAACGACGAGGGCGAGGTCGTCGACAAGCGGCAGCTGCTGCAGGGCGGCCTCAACATCAGCGCGCGGAAACGCTCCGACATGGAACGCCAGAAAGAACGAGACGCGCGCGACCGCGACCGCGACCGCGACCGAAACCGCAATGGCGACACATACGCCAGCCGCAACAGCGAGGGCGTCTTTGCCGGCAGCAAACAGGCCATGCGCGACCGGCAATCGCGCATGCTGGCCGCGCAGTACGAGCAGGCGCTCAAGCGCTCGCGCGACGCGGAGGACGAGCAGACGAAAGCCGCGCAAGAAGCGGCCAAGTCGCGCAAGACGACGGCCGACATCTCCAGTGCCAAAGAGCGCTACCTGGCGAGAAAGCGCGCCGAGGCCGAGGCCAAAAAGGCGGGCGGGGAGCCGTGAGGACGAAGCACTCTGGGGCTTCTGTGTTCTGTCTCTTCTGGGCGCTGATCTTTATTTATTGGCGTTTTTAACTTGTTTTGATATGTATGTCTGTATGTATGTTTGATGAATATATGCCGTCCCAACAACGGGGCTTTTCTTGGATCACCCGCTGCTGGCAGTTAAAAAGTGGCGAGGTTCTCTCGTCGGCGAAGCTTCATTTCCTCCCCCTATCCATGATACCGTCCTCCGTTTTTGACATGTTGGTACAATGTGCCTTCGCGGCTTCCAGATGCATAACGTCGTTTCGCTTTTATACACTTGCGGTATTTCTTACCAGGGCAGCGACCCCCTTCTCGTCTTGTCGCTGGTCTCTTCCGTGCACGTCCCTTAGTTGTTGTTGCCCATCTCCTGTTGTAACCGGCGGATGTACGCGGCGTTGACATTGTTCCAGGCCGCAATGTACTTTTCCATGCACTGGCTGACGCACTTTTGCTCGCCGGAGCTGAGCGACGAGCCGGGCTTGGGTACGCAGCTGTCGAAGCAGTGCTGGTTCATGTTCTGTCCAAGTCAGTCTTGTGTCTACTATTGCGGTCCACCGCGCGCCATCCACCCACCTCCATCAATGTCCGCGCATTGGCGCTGTTGGCCTCCTGCAGAATCTGCTGCATGATGGACTTTTTCACCGTCTCGTTATCCATATTGTCGGTGCTAGGAGAGGCCGAGGAGAAGGGAAGCGGGAGAATTGAAGGGGTAATCGGTGGACGTGGAAAGTTTGTGTGTTGTTTAGCCGAAGTTGCGCATGTGGTCGTCGAGAGGTCGTCGCAAAGTCCGGCAGCATTACGACGGGAGCGATCAAGGAAAGGCTGTGAGAATTTGAGAATTTGCTGGACTGGAGCCGCTGGAAAAAATGGGGCCGCAGCCCTGTTCCTTATCTTATCGGCTCGACATCTGCGCCGCCTGAAGAAGCTTGCCTAACTTGGTTTTACGGGGTAAAAGTGCCCTGTAAAGGACTAGCCGCGCCACGAGCACAGACCCCTGAAGGGTTGTGTGGGTTTTAGAGTTTACCGCAGTCCAGCCTACCAGCAGCTCCCCAAGGTTACGCCAAAAACACCCAAAACAAGCTCCCAAACGAAGAGGCCAGCTTACCATCTCCACCGCCACAGCATGACACGCATGCTCACACACTCCCTCCTTCCTCCTCCTAACTACTCCTTGCTCTTGCTTAGCATGTGTGCAGTACAAACACCATTTTCTAACGACTGCATTTTTTATTTCTTTTATTACCAGCCTCCCTTCCTGTCGAGTTTCAACTGAGACAAATCCGGCGCGTGACCTTCGTTTGTTTTCTACGGCTCAGCCCTCTCTGTCCTTGATTGATCGGCCATTCAGCGTACCTCTGCCAACGCGACCACCTCCTCGCCTCCCTCCCTGGGGCCGCCTTTTGACGCCTTTTCGATTGAGGACACTGACACTCCCGCTTCAGTCGTCACGCGCGCGACACGTTTTCGACGTCTTCTCTTTGACCATTCTCGCCTTTTCGACAACAGCAAGGCCTTGTTTCGCTGCATAATTAGCATACACACTGTCTCTGCTGCCACAGAGGCATCGCGGGCACGATGCGCATCTCCAACCTGCTGTCGTGGGGTCTCGCTGCTGTGGTCGCGTGGGCGGCTGACGTGGACGATGACATCAAGAGCATCAGTGTATGTTGCTCCTGGTCGTACCCCGAGACAGCGCCGGCTTTCTTCTCTCCTCATGCGCGCGCACATGCTAACCCGTTTTCTTTGTCTCTTAGCTTCGGACACATTCCCTCAGCCAGGTACGCACAAGCTCGAAAGCGAATTGACAAAGGAAGACATGCACGGCGACAGACGAAAGAGTGCTTGTGGCGAGAGGACGAGAGCTCGGACAGCTCGGACAGCTCGGACAGCACAGACAGCTAACATGCCCGCGTGAACATCTAGCCGTATCTCGATTCAGACATGCAGAGCCGGTGGTACGACTTTGGCGGCGACACCGTGATCCGGACAGACCAGTACATCCGCTTAACGGCAGACCGCCCGTCCCAGATGGGCTGGATCTTCTCGCGCGTGCCGCTGACCGCGACCAACTGGCAGATCGAGGTCGAGTTCAAGATCCACGGTACCAACACCTTATTTGGCGACGGTTTCGCCATGTGGCTGACCAAGGAGCGGGGCCAGCCGGGCCCCGTCTTTGGCAGCGTCGACAAGTTCGAGGGTCTGGGCATCTTCTTCGACACCTACAAGAACAACCGCCCCGGCGTCGTCTTCCCCTTTGTTATGGCCATGGTCGGCGACGGCAAGACCCCTTACGACAAGGACGCTGACGGCAAGGCCAACGAGCTGGCCGGCTGCTCGGCGCGCGGCATCCGCGGCGCCAACATCCCCACCCTGTTCCGCCTCACCTACTTCCAGGACAAGTCGCTCAAGCTCGAGCTGCAGTACAAGAACGAGGGCGAGTGGACCCTGTGCTTTGAGACCAGCGATCCCCCGACCCTGCCGCCCGCGACCTACCTCGGCTTCTCGGCGGAGACGGGTGAGCTCAGCGACAACCACGACCTTATCTCGGTGGCCGTCAGCAGCCTGTACGGCCCATCTTCGGGCGAGAAGGCGACACCCGGCAACAAAGGTGGCTCCAGCGGCCACCGTCTAGGCAGCTCGAGCAAGGCCAAGAAGAGCGGCGGCTGGCTGTGGTTCTTCACCAAGATCATCCTTTTCGTCCTCGCTGTTGGCGGCGGCTATGTTGGCTACACCGCATGGCGGACGAACAAGCGGTCGCACAGATTCTAAGACAGGATCGGGATCCACACAGAATCAGCTTCCAGAGAGGGAGGAGAGTCTGTGAGAGGCAGTGCGAGAGACAGAAGGAGGGCGAAGGCTGTGGCTGGGAGACGAAGCAATGCATGCGTTATGACACAGAACCGACCGGAAGGATGCGGCACTCAAAAAGCACTACACGAAACACCTACCATCACAACAACTTCGACACAACAAACAGCCATCCCCCCAAAACGCCCAAAACGCCCAAAACGCCCAAACGCATAAAAGCACAAAAACGGGTATGCCATGCCCGGCCGCACACCAGAAGGGCCTTTGTTGAGTTCGTATCCAGCACATACATATATACATTCTGCAATTATATTTTCTTTGTCGTTGATTCATCCGTTGTATCTCATTTATCTCATTTTACGTCTACTCTGTCCATCCGATCTACGGGGGTAGCACGTGGCTCCCACCGCTACCCAGTGTGGTTTTTTTGATCTGAATATGTGCCACATGCTTATTGGTGCTACTTTGTGCGACGTGCAATGTCAAGCTCCATATTCTGCAGTAGCGGTTGTTGGTATAGCTCGAAATAGCTATCGGCGTTTTAACATTTGGACAAGAGTTTACAGGCGACGTATCTTCCCCTGTCATCCAGCAACCCCAGAAATGAAAGAGTCAAAGAGGCATGGAAGCGCTTGGGCTTCCTCTCGCCGAGGCCGTTTGATTGACCTACCTCTCGTTAATCCCTCCTCTCTTACTTCGCCCTGCAGCTCGTACATCCAGCGCCGCAATGCATATTACGCTTCGCAAGCCATCACTGCATGATCAGCAAAGACGAGTTTTTTATTTTCGAGTATCACAAGCACTCTGGCCTCTCCAACTTCCACTGCGCCTTTCCGGTACTTGAAAAGACACATGCGGTCAGAATGGCCATTGCCAGCCGACGTCCAACCTCGCTGGCTGGGACCTTGTTCGCTCTTCCCCCACTACCCCTCCCTTGCCTTACTTTGCCTTACTTTGCCTTACAACCGGGTTCTTGCTCCTTCCCCGTCTTTCTCGAGTGCTCTTCAACGGTCCTGTGCTTCCATTGATTGGCCCGGTCGCTCTTGCTTTGAGCTCGCCCCCGGCTCCTTCTCTGTCCGGCGAAGTGCCGCCTTTGTTTTGTCGCTGTTGCCCATTTTCCGCATTCGTAGCCGTACGTAGCCAGCTCTTGTTCCGCTCTTTCCTCGAGACGAAGGGTTGCCCTGTAGATGCAGGTCATTGGCGCTAAGCAGAGAAGGAACAACCAACAAGGCCAAACTCGGCGTTGTTGCACTCCGTGGCACCTGCCGCTCGCATTTCTGCTCGCACACTTTATGCGCACACCCATCACATCCCCTCCTTGATTATCGTCAAATCAGCACATCTCGCCAGCGACACTCCGCACCACTGTCGCCTCACTTCCGTTCTCCCGTCCAGCTTAGCACTTAACAGCTAGCCTGTGTCGTGCTGTACTCGAAGCACATCAACGCATATTCCTTCTCGATGGACAGACCGGTCCCTGACTGCGTATAGACCGGTCGTCGACAAAACACAATTGAACGTTTTGTGCGCCTTTTTGTTTCTCTTCCAGGCAGCCTAACTGTGTTATTTTGTCTATTTTGTCCCTTGATCCTCCTCTCTTTGTTGTCTTTCTCCCTTTCCACATTCTCTGTGTCTCCCCCACTCCTCCTCCTCCACCCCGCCACCGACGCTTGCTGCCAGGAAAAGACGCCAGAGCCAGCCGCAGCTTGCAGCAAGCAAATACGCCATCCATCGCACCGTTTCCCCTTCGAGTCCTTCTCTTCAGCTGCGGGTTATGGCGCTCATAATCTAGCCTCACCTCTGCGTTGTATGGTATGTTTCGAGTTCGACTTGCGCATGTCTCTCCTCGGTAATTTTGACGCTTGCCTGCTCACGTCCTGGTCCAAAACAGAGTCCCGATCCTCGATCGACCTAGCACTTGTGACTGGCCGTCTGCCTCGTTTATGTCGCTCCACCTGGCAGCGCCTTTCCCTGTTGGACTTGGGGCTTTGTTTCTGATGCGGCTGCAAAAAAGCTGACCTGTTCTCGAGTACGAAGTACTTGTCCTGGTTGGCAGCTTCGCGCCAGAAATAGCGACAGCAACAAAAGGAACAAATTCGCCCGACCACGGCGCCCTGTATTGTCATCTCTTCATACTCCTTCTACTTCACCTTCTCTGTCTACCTGCTACCTAAGATTTTTTTTAAATCGTCGCTCCCAATTCTCTCGCCATATTTTGTGTCCCAATTGCTGCTGTTTCCGAGGTAAGTTCGCTTGGCCCCTAGAGTGAAAGCCGCATCTCTCATACTAAGCAACCGTTCCGCCATCACAGTCGTGCCTTGCCCCTCACCACAGCTCTTTTCCAGTTCAAAGGATTCGACAGCCCCACGGCTCGCCTGGCAAAACCACTGTAAGGAAGCACTGCGGAAGGTGGAAACACTGCAACTCCGTCCCTTTCCTAGCCAGTCGCCATTCTCAGACCGTTTGTTTTGGTATCAACTTTGGCATTAACCGTCAAGACAGCTCGCCCTTTTTGGCTTCGCAATTCCGTCATCTTACGTAGCTCAATCGAAGCTACTGCTCTTTGCCTCTGCGACTTAATACGTGCCAACGTTTGGCCCGGAGTAAATTGGTTTGCTCTACGTCGTAGCTTTCCACCCCACCAAAGCTGGCGATTATCCCAGCATCTCGCTTTTGGACGGTATCTTCCTTCTTTCTCTCCTCCCCTCAATCCCATTGTTCGGCACCATTGAGCCTGCGCCGCTTGTCGATTCGTTTTATCTTTGCCTTCCGACAGGCAATTCGACACGCTTTTGCGCACAGGTGCATATCCGCATGTTCAGCCTCTCAAAGTACGTGGCCCGCTTACCAAGAGTTGAGAGACGAAAGAAAGAGAGTGAGACATCGAAGAGGGGGACCTTCAAAAGACACGAAAGAGGCTCCCTACTGGGACCGGAACCCGAGGCACGAATCCAGTCTAGTCTTTGCAGTTCGCTGACTTGACAGATCGACCATTGTGCCTGCATCATTTCTCAATTGTCACAAACTGCCGCATCCTGCCATCATCACACCTTCGTCCTCCAACTTCCTTGCCTCAATCTCTTTTTTTGGTTCCTTACCTCGTCGCTTCGAATCCAGTTGCGTTTGGAGCACATCACTCTGACGAACTTGAACGACCCAGTACCTCCACGGAGTACACATGCAACAAGAAGCGCAGTTTGGAATGAACACGCCTGCTAAAACTCTCAGCCAAACCATCTTCGGTCGCACTCCAACCATCCAAGCTTGCCTTCTCACAAAGGCAAACTAATCAACGACCGCATTGCCGTATTTGTGCAAAAGTCTGCAATTGTCGTCGAGACGCCTGCTCGTCCAATCTAAGCTTCGCGATACGAGCTCGACCTTTGCCTCTACCCCAGCTTTCAAGCTATCCTTCTTCATGCCGACCTTAGGATTCCTCAAGAAAAAGCGCACCAGAGACGCCAATCCAGACTCAACATCAGGAAGTCAACCGACAAGCCCTGTTACGCCAACTGCAACAAAGACATTCGAGCAAGCTTTTCAACAGCCCTCCAATTCCATCGCGTCGGTCGCCTCCACAGCCTCGACAACAGCACAACCCATTGCGGCCGCCACCGCTGGATCACAATCTAGTCAGCAGGGACTGCACCCAGAGAGCGCACCGGCCTCTGTCTCAACAGCCAAGGGCTCCGCACCAGCTCCGGCTCTAGTGCCGGCTCCCGCTGCTCCAACGATGGACTCGACACAGCAGCACCAAGCCCAAAACCTGGTACCTGTGAACCCACCAATGTCAACACCGTCGCCTGGTACCGAGGTCCCAAATTTGCCGTCCATCTCAAACCTGATCAACCCTTCCCACAATGGTCAGGCAGCTCAGCAGACCTACCAGCAAGGTCCAACAAACCCGCCATCCTATTCTTCGGTCCCGACGGCCACGGCCGATTCTCAGACGCCGGCGACCCAGGTCCCACAGAAGCTGCCTCAGGCCCAGCAACAGCAGCAGCAAGCTCAACAAGCGGCGTTGCATCCTCACCCTGGACAGCCAGTCAACCTTCAGCAGCATGCCGTCGATCTGCCTCGGGTGACCAAGGGCAAATACTCCCTGGCCGACTTTAACATCTTACGCACACTCGGTACCGGTAGTTTCGGTCGTGTCCACTTGGTCCAGTCGAGGCACAACCAGCGGTTCTATGCTGTCAAGGTCCTGAAGAAGGCCCAGGTCGTCCGCATGAAGCAGGTGGAGCACACAAACGACGAAAGACGCATGCTTGCCCAGGTCAAGAATCCTTTCCTGATTACACTCTGGGGCACGTTCCAGGATGCGAGAAGTTTGTACATGGTCATGGACTTTGTCGAAGGCGGTGAGCTATTCTCACTACTACGGAAATCAGCTGTAAGTCTCTGTGGGCATGCTGCTCGGAGGTGGTACGAAAGGCGAGCAGGTTAATGGGTTACTAACGACGTCGTCTTCGCGGTCAACAGCGCTTCCCGAACCCTGTTGCCAAGTTCTACGCAGCAGAAGTCACACTAGCATTGGAGTACCTCCATTCGCGCAACATCATCTACCGTGACTTGAAGCCAGAAAACCTGCTTCTCGACCACCACGGCCATCTCAAGATAACCGACTTCGGCTTCGCTAAGCGCGTTCCGGACAAGACATGGACACTTTGCGGCACGCCAGATTACCTCGCCCCAGAAGTCGTGTCCAACAAGGGCTACAACAAATCAGTTGATTGGTGAGTGGTGTTTTCTCGTTTATTTTGCTTGGCTTGCTTGACAACCGCGAAATATCGCGAAATATGGAGAGCCACGAGTAATTTTTAACAGCGTAATAGGTGGTCATTGGGTATCCTCATTTATGAAATGCTTTGCGGATACACACCATTCTGGGATAGCGGCAGCCCGATGAAGATTTACGAGAACATTCTCAAGGGCAAGGTGAAGTACCCGGCGTACGTGCACCCCGATGCCCAGGATCTTCTCGAGCGCTTGATCACGCCTGATCTGACCAAGCGGCTGGGCAACCTGTACGGAGGTCCGGAGGATGTCAAGAAGCACCCTTGGTTTGCCGAAGTCACCTGGGACCGCCTAGCCCGAAAAGATATCGATGCCCCGTACACGCCGCCAGTCAAGGTCGGTGCCGGTGATGCCAGCCAATTCGATCGCTACCCTGAGGAGACCGAACGCTACGGCCAAGCCGGAAACGACGAGTAAGCCCCGCCAGCCAACGCGGATTTGTTCCCAATTTATCTCAACCGTCTAGCATATTCTAACCTACAATCCAGATACGGCCACCTTTTCGAAGACTTCTAAATGCAGTTTCGCAGATTCAAGATAACAGGCGTTTGGATATAAAGACGACATCGCCTAAGCGACACCGTAACGAACCGTCCAGCATCTTTTCATTTATTCTGGCACTGCGATCTCATCCGTTTTGCTTTTGGCCACAATTATTTTATTTTTCCTTGGATAGGTTTTTGTCTCGGACAGGTATTCACTTCGGGTGAAGGAAAGGGTTTTGGAACAAGGGCGGTACCTTTTCTATTGTGTTCTTTACATTGCGATATTATATTGGTATATTTTTTATTTATTTACTTGCGTTTTTCTTCATTTTTGGGGGGATTGGAGTATGCCTCCATAATTACACTGTCTTTTTGCTCGCAATCCGGCCGACGACCTTGCCGAGGCTGGTGTTTTCGAAGAGAGAGGATCATTTCGTTGGACGATCTGGCCCACGTTGGATAGTGCGCAGGTACAGTTCTGGATGTGGCTAAGACTTGAAAGGCCAACAGTTGCCAAAGCAGAAGTTCATATTCTGTACAGAATACAGTGCATTCACCCACAAGCAGGGGGTGTTTATTCCAATTTCTGACGTGTGGAGAGTCTAGGGACAACGAAAACGAAACTGCCGCAAAGATCCAACTCGCCAGAATTGCTCATAACCAGCGATAGAAAAAGAAGGTGACAAAGCTCGCTTCTTATTGTTTTCATACAGGGTACGACATATATTCATTTGAGAACCATATTCTCGATTGGGCCTCCACACCGATTGAAATACCAGCCTCGTGGTCAACAAAAACGTCTGCCAGACGGGCGGACGCCAGCCTCTTCAATACCTTGCCATGCCCCGTTTTCGCTTGCCCCACAGCGGCGACCACCCCCGGCCATACATTCGGAGGAAAGTTTGCAGATACCCATAGTCAACTTCTGCGTGGCCTCTGTCATGTTTTCCTGCCGCTGTGTCGAGCTCGCGCCAATCAGGGCGGCTCTCAACGGCCCCAGAAGGAGGGAGCCCAAGTTGCAGTGGCAGTGGGGGAAGAGGGTGGGTTAACCTGCATGCACTTGCAGGCCGACCTGCACGGATCTGTTCTTGCAGGAAGGAAGCATTACAGGAGACAGCCATGCCGCAAGCACTGACGCATTCGCTGACGAGAGTCAGTCGAGAGACTGAGTCGGGGCTGCAAGGCCCACCAATTTGAAGGCGGCTCTTCCGAACAAGTACGAAGTAGTATTCCGTATATCATACGGTGGAGAGAAATCACACAGCGGACGCTGCGCCATGGTCCGGCGTCGCGTCGTTTCTGCAACACGTTGGACGATGCCTGCAGAACACTAGATTGCGGATGCGATGCCCGCTGAAGGCGGCAAGGTCTAGGGAGTGGAGAGTTTGTCAGAAGTGGTCGAAAAGAAGCTTTGGCCAGTCGGGCCAGACCCTGTCTTGGCTCCTTATGGGGATGGCTTCTATCTCTTTCTAATCAATTTTGAGGATCTTTATTTCCCACCTCACTTTCATCTTTTCTTCTTTTCCTTGAATCCATCTCGCCTTTTACGACGTATTCAACTTGACTTTGTTCTCGTTTTCCGCTTACATTTCTCGTCATTCAGTTTGGGTTTCCCTCTGATTTGCGGTCCAAGAGTTCGGCCGTTTATCATTGAGAACTGCGGTTCGCCTTGTTTCTTTCCTTTTGCTGCAGTGCCCGGGAGACTCCAGCGCTTCTTCCAATCTTCGTGCATGTTGCGCGTGCCTCTCAATTTCTTTCTTTACGACACGTACAGTCACAGCTGGCCATAAAAGTGTGATGAGGCTTTTCGGTTACCACCAAACACGTTGACGATAGAACCTTCACAACTACCCAGCTAACGATGGACGACTACTTTTTTGAAAATCATGTCCGGTCCTGCAAAGAAGTCTCCGAGAACTCAAGTTTCCTGGAGATCTACAACTTTTCTGTCAGTCATTTGCCCACGACCGAACCGCCCTTGTGACCTCGTCATCTTGGTCCGTTTTCAGCTAACAATGCATTGTCTCTCACATAGAATGGCGAGATCTACTATGACAAGGGCGCATTGCCCATGAGCGAGTTCCAGAACTTTTTAGAGCGGAAGGTATGGAGATGTCGGGTCGGGCCCTCCCGCAGTTGCCTTGTGTCTTGTACTAACGCAGTTCAAGGGCGTCTTCGAGCCTCCGAAGAAAAAGGATGGCGCGAGCATCGTCAGCGGCATGCGGCTTATGTAGGTCACCTACTTCTCCCTTGAACTCTGCTCGTGTTCTCGTTCACTGTCTGACGCGACGGTCCCCAGTCTGCAACTCGGCGCACAACACCCCGAGACGTTTACCGCAAACTACATCTCATATACGCACAACGAATACATCGCCATGGTCCGCAAGCTCAGCCTGCCCTTCCGCGCCATCGAAGGCACCAGCATCGTGGGACCCTTCTTCTGGGCGGCCCTCGACCAGGACGACGCCAACCCTCACCTGCAAATCATCTTCCGCAAATCCGACGTTCGCAAAAAGGGTCTGACCCGCGGCTGGGAGCTCATGCTAAGCCACAACTTCCGCTCGGCCATTACGACAGGCTACGCCAAAGGCACCGAATCCAGCCAGCTCGAGAAGATTGTCGACCAGCACCTGCGCGCCTGCGCCTTCCACATCGCGCACCCGCTCATCTTTCCCACGATCCTGCTGGGCCACGACCTCGACAGCACCATGGACGACAAGCAGCGCAAGGCGCGCCACTGGCTGCGGCGCTTGGAGCATGCCATTACCGACCGCAACGAGATTGACGTCACCGAGCGCTACTCCAACTTTGACCTCGACGAGATGAACCGGGAGCTGGTCGAGTGCCACAGCCAGGTCCTGTGGAAGCGCCCGCAGGCGTACGTGGACACACTCGACGAGATTGAAAAGGCCATGACCAAGTTCCGGGACGCACGCGAGCGCCTGCTGCGCGACGGCCAGCTATTTGCGCACCACGCGGACCCGGCCACTGAGGCGGCGCTCGACAAGTTGCACCGCAGCATGCTGAGCCGCTTCGACTTTTTCCGGCAGAAGCTCAAGGGCATCCGGCACTATGCACATACGACCATCTCCCGGCTCGACATCCAACGAGGTGCAGTAAGTCTTACCGACTCCCGACTGCCATGACTCCTCTTCACATGCTAATTGTCTTCTCCAGCTCTACAACATTATTGCCCAAAAGGAGTCGAAGCTCAACTTGGAAATGGCCCAGCACCAGCGCCTCCTGGCACTCGCCTCCAAGCGCGACAACCAGAGCATGAAGGCACTCTCCATTGTCGGCGCTGTCTTTTTGCCGGCTACGTACCTGGCGTCCCTGTTCTCCATGACCTTCTTCAACTTCCAGGTCGGGGGCAACGGCGGCGGCAGCGGTGGCGGCGACGACGACTCGCCTACCGTGGCTCCGACGCTGTGGATCTACTTTGCCATCACCATCCCGCTGACTCTTGTCGTGCTGGCCGCTCTCTTCTGGTGGGACCGAACCCGCGAAAAGAAGTTTGCCGCAGAAGAGGCCGAAGTCTCAACAACGCTGCCCGACCTCGAGCGCCGCGTCGTGACGTCGTTGCGGGAGATGCGAACCGGTCTCAACAGCATGGACACGAAGCGCTGGGACTCGATATAGGTGGGCGGGTAAGAGAAAGATGCCACAAAATAAAAATTAGGACGGCCAGTCATCTAACAAAAAAAAAAAAAAAAAAAAAAGAAAAGAAAATGATACGAATAACGAAATTGGATACGGTACACGCACAACGACCACATGAGCTACCAGCACACTATGTTTTCTGTACATGACTTCACTTCTTCACGATCCGACAACCCACGATGCAATGACCTGGTTAAGCTTTTCTTTGGCATATTTGGATATTTTTCGACATTTTGAAAGCATTTTCTTGGGTATGACTGCGAAATACAAGACAAAATTATATATTTTATGTATGTACGACATGTCCTTGTTTTTATCTTTGGACTTTAAAAATACATTTCTATTTTCTATAACATTTATAAATTTCATTGAAAATCGACGTTAATTTTGTTTACGTGTTTTTTTTTTATTGAATATAAAAGGCACCATATTAATTTTATTCTTGATTGAAGCCCTTTATAATTTCCACATATCAACCATTCAACATGCTGTCGAATTTGGTCGTTGCATGCTCTTCATTTGTGTGCTCACTCAATCTATGGGTTCCTATTTTCCGATCCATTTTGAGCTTGACTCGTTACTTTTACTTCCTTTTGCTCATGCTTCTAGTTGCAAATACAAAACAGAGGTCGCCCTTTTTTAATCTCCTCATTTGTATCCCTCTACTTCTTGTACACCTTCTCGAGGGCAGCCACGACGGCATCGCCCATCTCCGATGTGCTGGCCGTACCGTGCAGGTCCTTGGTGCGGATGCCGCTGTCCAGAGCGGCCTTGACAGCCTGCTCGACAGCCACGGCGTCGGCGGGCAGCTGCAGCGAGTAGCGCAGCATCATGGCGACGGACAGGATGGTGCCGACGGGGTTGACAATGCCCTTGCCGGAGATGTCGGGGGCCGAGCCGTGGATGGGCTCGTAGATGCCGTTGCACTTGCCCTTGCCGTCGGGGATGCCGCCCAGGCTGGCACTGGGCAGCAGACCGATGCTGCCGGGGATGACGCTGGCCTCGTCGCTGATAATGTCGCCAAACAGGTTGCTGGTGATGACAATGCCGTTGAGGGCGCGCGGGTTCTTGACCATGAGCATCGCGGCCGAGTCGATCAGGTGGTGGCCCAGCTTGATCTGGGGGAACTCCTTGGCAAAGACCTCGGACACGACCTTGCGCCACAGGCGGCTGGTGGCCAGCACGTTGGCCTTGTCCAAGCTCCACACGGGCAGCGGGTTCTGGGGGTCGGCCGCGAGGGCCAGGTAGCCGCCGAGGCGGGCGATGCGCTCAATTTCGGGGCGCGAGTAGGGCTCGGTGTCGAGCGCGGTGCCGTCGCCGGTGTCCTCGCGGCGGTCGCCAAAGTAGATGCCGCCCGTCAGCTCGCGGACCACGGTGAAGTCGGTGCCGCGGCAGACGTCGGCCTTGAGGGGGGAGAAGTCGACGAGCTGCTCCGACGCGAAGGAGCAGGGGCGCAGGTTGCCGAACGTCTGGAGCTCTTTCCGGAGCTTGAGCAGGCCTTGCTCGGGGCGGACCGGGGCGTCGGGTCCCCACTCGGGGCCACCAATGGCGCCCAACAGGATTGCGTCGGCGGCACCGGCGGCAGCAAGGGCCTCGTCGGTCAGGGCCTCGCCGGTCTTGTTGATGGAGGCCTGTAGGGGGAAGGGAAAGAGGAAATGTCAGCACACGCCGTTCGTCGCTCCATTCTCACCGGGAGGGGGAGCAAAAGGAAGAGAGGAAAACATACACCACCCAGCAGGTGCTCCTGCAGGTTGAAAGTGGCCTTGGACGGGCTGTGCTTCTCAATGGCCTTGAGGACCTGTTTGTTGCCTTCTGGTCAATGTCTAAGTTTTGCTCGGCGGGTGTGGGTGCGCGTGCTGCGCGCGGTAGGTGCTGTTATTCACCTTGATAGCTTCAGCCACGACCTAATTCAAACAAAACCGACTGTCAGCATATTGGCATTCTTTCCCTCGACGTTCGAAGAGCTGCAAAACCAGCAAAAATTGCAGTTTTCGTCTTTTAGCCGAAGGCTCTGCCGCCCACGCGCCACTACCTCTTTGCAGGAATACGAACCTCCGGACCGGAATGGTCGCCGGCAAAGACGACAATGTTATTTGATGACATGGTGAGCGAGAAGGATGTGTGTGGTTTGGGTATAGGGAGGAGTTAGAGAGTGACAAAAGACAAGAAAGAAGAAAGACAAGAAGAACTTAAGGTCGGAGGAAAGACGCAGCAAGAGAAGCAACGGTCTTCCTATTTTAGGTCCGCTGTTGACCGAGTGCCCTATGAGACTTTCCCTGTAAACGTCTCGCCCTGCTGGCACTTAGTGGGCAAAGACTGGCCAAAGACCAAGCTGGAGGTCCAAGGCCCCGCATAAAACAAGGCGCTGTAGGCCCCTGGTAAGCTCGTAAAACGCGGTCTCGGTGCTCTCTTCGAAAACCAGCTCCGACCCCGCGCGGCCGAAGTCGGCGCTTACCCCTAGCAAGAGCCCCAATGGCCAGCAGCACCTGTGTGGTCCGTTCAAAGAGGAACGAAGACAACGGAACGAGATCGAAAAGCGCGCCGCAAATGACCGGTCAATTGGCCAAGTCTGCATGCCTCCTTTTCCTTTGTGCCCTCGATGTCTTCCCTAGGCGCAGGAAACTTGTTTGTGTCGGACGATCGCCGTCTCGGCCCCCACCATGAATTTGACGATTTGATCTCGCCGGTATATTTTCGGCCAACATGATGAGATTCGAGGAAAATATGCCCAACATGTAAATAGAAAAATAATTATGAGAATTGACACGTGCTACATTGCAAACTTCAAACAGAGGCACCCGTGTCGCGTGTAGTATCTACCCTTGCTCTGAATCTTGATCAGCCCTACAGCCAACACACTATTTGTTAAGGATGTGGTTAGGTCTTGTCACATATCTTTAACGAGGTCGTCACTTTGCACGTCTAATTGGGACTGGATACACAATATTTTACATCGTATTCATCGCATAGTATTATTTTGCCGCTCTCGCTTATATAGTATGGTACATACAAGGACAATATTAGCTGTTAGCTGGCTTTGGGCTCTCGAAGTTGGAGTTGCGATTGGGCTGTGTTTTACGGAGGACCAAGCTCCAAAAACCCTCCAACTGAGATGCATCATATGACCGGGTGGACAGGCCCGACATTTCCGAAGCTGCCACTCTTTGTTTTTGGTTGTTTTGGTCCCCAATGCATGCTCCAGGCAAGTACATAGAAGCCCAAAGAAGCAAGAAAGCAAGACAATCAAGACAGCCAGAATGCCAGAAAGCTTTTACCGGAACGTCTTGAACGACTTGTGCGCCAACGGCGACGACCCTGCGGTCGGCGGGATGCGGATATTACGGACATTGGGCGTGTTTGCACAGAACGCGCAAATGTACACCGGCGGCAGTGTCCGCTTGGTGATGTTGATGCACCGGCCATGGAGCCACAGGTCGCAGGATTCGCTAAGAAGTTAATACACAAACAAAAGTAAGATAAATGGTGTAGTATGCCAACCCGAGGGATACCTACCATTGCACGATGAACCCGTCGCTGTTGGGGGGTGCATCTTGACGACCGCAGATGCAGCGGATACCGTGGCTGTCGTGCGCCTGGGAGCGGGCGCTCGAAGGGGTGGGGAGGCTGGCGTCGGTAAGGGTCGTGGGCGAGACGGCCTGCATGCTATGGATGCTATGGTGTCTACCACTCGAAAAGCCAGCATTGCCGCCAATCGGACCACCAAACTTGAGCCCGCGCTGGACGCTGCCAAAAAGGTTGTTGGCCGAGCCGCTGCCGGCGAGACCACCACCGCCACCACTGTGGCTGTTGCTGCTGCTCGGCCCGGCAAAACTGGCCCGTTTCTGGCGCATCTGGCGCAGCTTTTCGAGTTCACTTGCGGCATCACCGGCGCCCTTGGGCAGGTCGTTCATGACGGTCTCGGCCTCGCTCTCCGGGTCGTTGTAGGCCGCATCGCCGGGCATCGTCGCGGACGAGCTCGTGGTGCTGCGGTCGCTGACACTGCGCTGGGACGAGTGCAGCGGGCCGCGGCCAATGGTGGGCTTGACGGGGTCCGGCAGCGCAAAGGATGTGGTGCGGCTCGGGATGATGATGGGCTCGTCGTCCGTCGAAGACGAGTCGTCATCGTCCGAGGAGGAGTCCCAGCGGGACTTGCCCTGCAGAGACCGCGCGCTCTGGTTGCGGCGCAGGGTGGCAGTCGGCGTGGGTCCGTCCCGGTCAGCGGCTGATGTTTCGACGCGTGCACGGCCGTTGGCGTCAATGGTGAACTTCACTGACGCCCGGGACTGCGGCGTGTTGACTTCGGGGATGGATGTCAGGCTGGATAGGCGAGGGAGATGCGTGTCATCGAGCTGTTGCTGTTGGAGGTTGTGCTGCTGCTGCTGCTGCTGCTGCTGCTGCTGCTGCCGCTGTTGGTGATGCATACGAATCGGCGAGCTGCGGCCGGTAGGTCGGCCACCACCATTGCCACCGAACGAGGCAGACCGTGTGATACCCAGGCCGGTGCCAGGACTGGAAAAGGGCGCGCCAACACTGCCCTGTGGGAGTGCGGATGTGGTGGCCGACGTCTTGAGCGCAGGTGCCAGCACTGGCAGCGAAGCACGACCCCGTAGGCGGGGACCGCGGTTTTCGCTGTGGCTTCGTGACAGGCCAGGGCGACCGTTGCCGGCCGACTTGACGGGCGAACTGGCAGACGGCCGGTCGCCAGCTTTCCTTCTGGGTGCGATCTCCTTGGCACTCGAGCTCCGGCGCAACTCCTGCCGCTGCACGGAGGCGGGGCCTGTGTTCAACATGGCCTGAGGTGGACTGCTCTGTGATACTGGCAAGACGCCAGGGGCTGACGCCCTGGGGAACGGCTGCTGCTGGTGTTGTGTTGGGTCAAAATTGGTGGCGTCGGCGAGGGCCATCGTGGCTCCGGCACCAGGTGGTGCGGAGGCCATGAGATCCAAGCTGGATGAGGGTGGTCGGGTGAACAATAGACCGGGATTGACACCACCGTTCGGGCTAACGATGCCAAAAGGGTCATCAACTGGTGTTGGATAGCTGCCGGCATACAGACCTTGGTGGTCCACAGAGGTTGTGTCGAGCGGGGTGGGTTGCAACATCCCCTTGGGGTCACTCTCAGAGCCCATGGAGGTATGATGCATGTGTTGCTGGTGCTGGTGCTGCTGGTGCTGCTGGTGCTGGTGCTGATGCTGGTGCTGTTTTGCCATGGCTTCGGCACCTGCCACCATGTATGCTTGGTTGGTTTGGTTGGCTTGGTTGGCTTGTGCCCAGTCCATAGACTCAAGCTGCCGTTGGATCGATGCTGGCGAGCCGAAGGCGTGGGCGCTGGCCGCAAAGTCGACATCCATATTGGACATAGTCGGATCGCCGCCGGCCCAGAAGGACTGAGCGTCCGCAAACGCTGTGGAAGCGGCAGGTGCCGACATAGGGTACCCGAAAAGGTCGGTCGGGCTCGCCATGAAGGTGGCCATTTGTTGCTGCTGTGGTGTGTTCAAGAAGTCGTTAGGCGGTGCCTGGTGCTGCGGGCCGTAGCCCTGGTCATTTTGCATGGTGGTCGTGGCGGAGGCTGCCGGTGATTTGAGCTTGGGGGCGATCCTGCGTCCGCCCTTTCTCGCGGAGGGGGGCGGTGTCGCAGTTTGGCCCTTGGAGGTGGAGGTGGAAGCAGTTGTATCGCCGCGTGCTTTCTTCTGGGATCTTGTAGCGATTGGGACCGGACCTTCGATCTTGGCACTGTTGGCAGCAGCGGGACGTGGTTGGTCGTCGCCGTAGTAGTCGGGGCTAAATTCGCGGCCGGCGGCGATCTCACGATCGTCCTCAGCGATCGAGCCAAAGGCTGCAAGAACGAGCGGGCCAGGCGAGGAGGACAGTTGTTTGGAAGGATCAACGGGCGGCAGAGGGAGGGAGGGGTTCGAGAGATTCGAGGTCGTAGAGGACGCTATGGACAAACGATGAACATGGGACGTGGTGTGTACTTCTGTAGCAATACTGCCGATCGAGAGCGGGCGTTTGTGGTGTTTTGAGGCGGCCAACAACGACGATGTATGCAGCTGGGCTTGCTCGACCGTGGGGGACGCAAACGGGGCCACAAAATCAGAGAAAGGACCCTGCGAGCCCCTCAGGTTGCCCGGGGTATTGTTAAAAACAGAAAAGTCCTCTGCAAAACGAGGCGTCCAGTCCGGGCCGGGTGTCGTCGTTGCTGTGTGTGAGGAATTGTTGTCGTTGGCGAGGTCGGCCACAGCACCAGCCTTGGGCGTCTCAAAGACAGGACTGGAGAAAAAAGAGGTCGCAGACGTGGGTGTCTGTTTCGGCGTGGGCGGTTGAGCGGTGGAATCGCCAAAACTGTGGGACACGACGAAAAAAAAACAGAAAATGGATGTTAGCCAAACCCGCTGTGGGACCAGAGCAACGGGTACGGTGCGTGCAGGTGAGAAAGAAAAATGAATAAGAAAACAAAGCACAAATTCAAAGTCTGGACAACAACGGGCAGGAGACGGGTAAGAACGAGATGGAAGAACACGAAGAAAAGGGAGATCGTCCAACTATTGCCGAAGAAGATGCACGGCAGCAAAGTGCGTGCACGGCATGAGGATGGGGGCGGCAACAGAAACGGGACAAGAAACCAGCAAAAGAGGCACAGAGCTTGGACGGAGAGGGAAGAGGTGCAAGGGATGGAGGGTGGGACACAGGCGCACGGGCAAGACAAGAGCGACAAAAAAAAAGGGAACCCTGTGAAAAAAAAACATGGAACAGTAAAAAAAAGGAAAAAGCAGTCGGATTCGAGAAGATAGAAAGAGTAAAGTCCACGGCAGATTGGAAAGCAGAGAGAAGCGGCAGAGACAAACAAAACATTGACGTGATAAGCAAAAGGAGGGAGAGAGGGACACTGGAAACAGAAAAGGTGATGGAGGCAAATCGTCGTCTTACCTGGTTGTTGGTTGATCCCCGCTCATAGCAGAAAGAGATCAAAAGATCAGGTCGTTCGTGTTGCAAGCAATCCCAATAGAAAAGTCATAGCACGAGGGATGTTCCTCAGTATTACGAACGAGTGTTCCTGGACGTCGGCTCTGGTCGTCGAGGAAGGACAAACGGCGCGAGACGGCAAGGGAGATGCTGGGCTCGGTGTGAACCGAAGGGTGGTCTTGAATCTAATTCTTTGGTCGAAAACAGGGTTCGTATGCTTTTGTTTGAATGCTCGGGTCGTGTCCGCGGTTCGTAGCTGGTCGTGTATATAATTTTGGAAAATGGTCGTTTCGAATGCGGTTCGTTGCCGTGGATAGGTCGGCTGGTTGTTTCGTTATGGCAGGACAATCGTACAATGCAATAAAAAGCAAAATGCTGGCTTGTTTATGACAAAGAAAGGGGGACGACAAAAAAATGTAAACGCAAACGTGCAATGTATGTTCTCGCGAACATCTGTTTCAAGAAGAAGAAAAACGAGAAACAGGTTCGTTAGTCAAAGACCTTGTTGGAAGCAAAGCGAGGCGGAGCATCCAAGCAGATAGGATGGAGGTGTGCGTGAAAGTGAACGAAAAGAAGTGTGTGCGGGGACAGAGGAGACGTATATGAGGAACAGAGCAGAGCAGAGAGGAGAGAGAAAAGAGGACGAGCCGCATATGCTACAAGGGAGAAAAAGGGCAGAGAAAGAGAAAGGAAACCAGGCTGGACTTACCAAAACATAAATATGAGAAGCAACAAAATTAAGAAGAAAAGAAAAGAATGGAGGCACGCGAGCGACGAAAGTTGACAAGGAGAAAAGAGAAAAGAAAGAGAAGCGCCGAGGACGAAGACAGGAGGGAGGGGAGGAAGACCCAAGGAACAGACGCACGAGAAACCGATAGCCTATTTTGGAGGGTGACTGGGATGTAACGAGTCTCGTTGGACTTCGGTGTGTGGATGCCTGTGGTAGGCGTGTGTGTGAGGAAGTGGATTGGATTAGATGGGCGTGTGCGTGCACTGGAGGCGGCAGCGTCATACGGGAGGAACAGGGGGGGACTGATGCAAAGTATGTCGTAAAATACTTCTTGATCCGTCATACGGGTCCGTCAAAGGAACAGTGTGTGGAGAGTGTGCACACACAGCGAGGGACCGATGAAGCAATTATGAAGACGAGATGAACGGGGCCATGGACGGAAAGCTTGTCTCATCTCGTCTTCGTTCTCCTTTCGCTGTCGGTTGTCGGTGATCGTCGTTCAAGACTTGCTGATAGTAGTTTCCAGGGAGGCTGGCAGGAGGTAAGATATGTGACTGGGGAAGAAATAGCGATCTGGAAATTGGAAGACGAGAAGGAGATGGGCACAAGACAAAAGAAGCCGCTCGTCATAGCGTCCACAGTCGACAGGGAGAAATCAGATATCTGACGGGGAGCAACGCAGACAGAGTCGGAATAGCCTCAAATCCGGACGACCTTGGTTTGCGGACTGGGCATGAAACTAGGTTAGGGGGACAAAAGAAAGCAATGTAGAACTAGAACGGCAGAGCGGACCAGGTCCAGGGAAGGCAGGCGTGAGGGACCGCACGGAGGCAACTGCACAGGAGCGTGCATGCGAGAGCGAGAGGGGCGGAAAGTGGGAAGCTGCTGTCCACTAGCCGAATCGGAAAGAAGCAAGGAGGTGTACGACACATAGCGCGGGTGGCTACGTCGTCCTGCTGGTAGCAGTGCCAGTGAACGAGGTAGCCATATGCGCACAGGGAAAGTGCGAGAACGTGCAGGCAAATGCCCGAGAGACGAAACAGGCCAGTCGAAGAATGAAAATTCTGCGGCAAGAGCCCGACAAGGAAAGAGCAGGGGGCAAGCACGAAGAGAGGACTGTAAACAGACAACAGCAGCCAAAACTAGTAGTACGATGTCGAGACCAACGTACAAGATATTAGCGGATCAGCACCTATCAACGTACTGTGTATAAGAAAGAAACATAAAATACGTCGAACCGGGTAATAGCAGACAATGGACAAAAGGTACCGTCGTGCTACATTGCCTTCCAGGGGAGTGAGTGCGTGCCAGGACTCGTTCAGGTGCCTTCTGAGGTAGGCGGTGGAGGCGGTCTGCGTGTCTGCGTCCTGTCCATCCATGGGCGGCAGGCACGAGGGTGCTTGTGTCCCAAACGGGCAAGATGGGCGGCGACGAACTGGCAAGAACGGAAGAACGGGGACGAACAGAGTCAGAACGGGGAAAGAGCAGACCGTCTGAGCTACGCCTTACAGGGAGCTTGTCTTCTTGTCTCTTGGATTACTGGCGACCTCGCGCCAAACAGGGAAATGCTATGTGGCTACGCTTCTTGAGCAACGACGTCGATCGCACACCAGCAAGTGGCCGGTCTCTGGTCTTGTGGGAGCTTCAGACACATCCCCAACGATGCACGAAAAGTACAACATACGAAGGAATTAAGATACATCTCAGCGAGCGTCTAGGCCGCCCCACTCCGCTGTGGGTTGGTGCAAAGGTCGCTTGGTTTACTTCGGTTTACTCTAGCGCACACAGATGCTGTGGGCACAATCATCTTACAGAGTATGCCTTTACATTTTTTCTCGGTGGGGTTTGCTGGAAAGGGAAAAAGCTGGGGGACCGGCGCGACCTGAAGAGTAACAGTTCTCGCTGGTGGATACTACCATTGCAGCGATTGGCATTCAGCTGGTCCTATTTCTCGCCCTTGCTGGGAGCCGAGCGACAACAACAGTGGACAGGGAGTGTGAAATCAGGTCGTCAGAGTCTTCGAGAGCATGCAAATGTAATACGGAGGAACCTGTGGTCCTGCGAACGGTTGCTCTGGTAGAAGCCAACAAAAGAAAATTGCTACGTGCTCGACAGGGAGGAAATGGCTCGATAGCCCCGACATCTGCCGGCGGACGGGGCAGGATGACACGGAATACGAGCAAAAGACGGGCCCCGATGGACGGAGAGTGGCGTCTAACAAGAATTCGATGCCTTGATTTGCCTGGTGCTTTACGGACGACATATGTAGTCGTACTGACTTCGCACAGAGTGTCTGGAGACAGGTTGGAGGAAAGCGTGCCACAGCGAGGCACCAGAGGCACAGACATTGCTAGTGGCCCGCCGAGATGAAGTGCCCCTGAGCCAACCAAAAGACCGTCGAGGCACGAGCTGGACACTCGGCGCTGGTGCTGGGTCATAAGGGTAGTTTGGGCCCCTGGTGGTCGATCTTCGCTTTTAGCGCATCGACAGATTGGCACTTTGCTTACAGCAGGTTTTAGGTAATCACTCGCAGAGCTCAAGACGTGTGGCAACAAAGAAACCGACATGAAGCCAATTCGATTCAGAACCAAGCAGGCAGCATAGTGCTGTTTTTTTTTTTTTGCCAATACCAATTTTGAGAGCTCCATCTTGCGGAGAAGCTCCTTACCTACACAGGTCGAAATTAACGTCCGTCCGCGATCCGGGGAACGGCAACCAAAGGGCTGCAGTGGGGAAGATACGTAAAAGCAGCGAGCGTCGGCACAGCCTGCTTCGTATGCATCATTGTCAAATTTCTCCGCCAGACTGCATGTTCAAACAGGTGAGCCAAACGGTGAGCCAAACGGTGAGCCTCAAGCTGTTGGTTGTTTTGCGTGCTTCTCCGCAGCGCTGTTTCGAGCTGTGTGAGCTTCACGATGCCACTGGTTCGCAGCGTCTGTTTTGCTCTGTGTAGACTTGGCTCTTGACTCGTCCTTTCCGTCTCGTCTTTTGTTCCGTCATCAAACAGAGCCCCTTGCTCTGCCTAGCTGCAGGTCGAGCTCAACAGCAACGATTGGCCAGGGGCGGCCATCGCTGCAGGCATTTCACTGCACACTGCACGGCGAAAACCCCGATCCTTCTTGCATGCAGCTGACAGGAGACTGCTCGAGGGTGCGTGGGACAGGTCGCTTCGGGCAGCTCTGCCATAGGCCAATGCAGCTGCCAGTTGCCCTCTTGACTGCAGCGGCCTGTTCTCTCTATCAACGTCCTAAGCCATCTCATCCTCCAGTCCGCCTTGGAATGCCTTCATTTATTGAACTTGCTGTTTCGAATGCGGAAGTTGCAAAATACGGTCTGAATGATAGGGCGTTGTCGGGTTGTCGTGCCTGCCTCGTCAAGCCCTGTCGCTCTCGGCGGGATTGCGTGACCGCGACTTCCTCTTCGGGTGCTGGTTGCATGGAGTCGAATCTGAAAGCACCATCTGAGTGATCTGAATAGGGCTCGTCGTATTCGAGAAATTCGTAATGCGATCGTCACGCCTATTTTCGTCTCCTTACACAGTATTGCATCGTCTCATGCTCTAGCAGTTCTTGGTGGTGCCCCGGTACCCCGGTTCAGCTGAAAGGGCCAACTGGAAAAATGGCTCGTTTTGGCGTAGCGTGGTTGTCGGTTGGCTGCTGGATCGCTCTTGCGCTTCTAGCGTTCCATATGGTCCTACCCTTCTTGGACTTTTTTGGTGCTTAATCCAATCTTGATTACGAGCCAGCAAAAGGCTCAAAACGAGTTTGGGGTGTGCATCTCCCAATTCAATAGTCTTCCCCACATGCCGAAGGGGAGGCGACAAATCTATGCCTATACCATACGCTTCTCGACCAGCGTTTTGAATGGGGAGTACTCCGTACAATAGCGCAGCCTCTCCGACTCGAGGACGCCGTGTAGGCCGACTGGCCGCCGCTTTCGCCCTCCGGAAGCCGGAACAAAACGACACAGCAGTGGAATGAAAACGGGACAATCCCAAACAACCACAGAACCAAAACAGCCCCAAGGAACCGGGCTCCGGGGTGGCACCTGAGCGGAACAGAAGAGCCTCATGGTCCTGGCCTGGCGTGGAAGAGCCCCATTAAGCTACTGCGGAGCGGCCGGGCAATGTGCAAAAATGCTTGCTCGGGAACAGCATGGGGCCGTCCCTTTCGCTCTCCATTTTGAGAGCGTTATCCAAGTCTTTACGGAGTACGGAGCACGGCAAGGGACGTCCAGAGTGTGAGGGTAAACAAATCGACA